AATGCATCAACTTGCATTTCTCCACATTAAACTTCATCTGCCACGTGTCTGACCATTTTAGACTTCCTATGTCCTCTTGCAGTCTTGCAGTCATATCCACTTTTCAATATATTCTGTGAAGCGCTTTGATACGTCTCAACATCAATATCAAATGTAAGGGCTATTATTATTATTATTATTTTTGTTGCATTTCAAAGTGTGCGAATTTTGGCAAATTCTTAAATACATTCCTTAATCTTTAAAACAACTTTCGGTGAGATTTTATTTCAATAATTTACACAAATAGCATCTTAAAAGTTAAGATGGCATTCAATAATCTGACACATTCTGGATGCTACATGGAGTAATTCTACTGACCACCACCAACAACAACTTGCATTTATATAGCGCCCTTCATGCTGAGTCCAAGAGCTCTTGAAAATAGTCACTACAGTTTACAGTTAGCCCTGTGAAGTGCTTTGAGGCATCCTCCCAAAGTAAAAAGAACTGTATCAAACGGTTGGATTATTATTTATAAAAATCTGAACTAAAGTGGAATTTCTCCCCAATATTTGTGCTTTATTTGGAATTGAGTCGATGCTTTATAGTGGGCTTGGTAGTCTGGTTCCTGAGTCAGGTGTGTCCACAGTACTCCAGGGCACTGCTGATGACACACCTGCAAGCTAAGGCCCTACAGCACCAATAATAATAATTTGGTCACTCAATCCATGACTAGGACACTGCTGTGGGCAAAACTGGCTGTTGCATTTCACCCACAAACTACACAGTCAGTATATTTACAGTAAATCCCATGAAGCACTTTCTCTATGATGGGATAAAGTGTTATATCAAATGCAAGGATTATTATTATTGTAAAAAAACTGTGAATTGCCCGTGAGAAATGCTGAAACAAAACACATATTACGGACAGGAAAGAGCAACAAGCCTGAGCCTAACTGTAAAAATGATAAGCTATTAAGACAGTTCAAGAGAAAAGTTCAAGAAAGAGGGTGGCTAGGTGAAGACTTTGAAGTACATAAAATATAAACTCAGTGCGAGTCAAAACAGGAGGGCAAGGGGACAATACATGAAAATTAGTGAACCACACACTTAGAATAGATACCAGGAAAAACTTATTTTTTTGGTCAGCCAGGTGTCAGACACATGCGGAAACCCATCATCATGCTTAAGACTCAAGGATATCCAAACCGAACGGAGACTTACATGAATCCCACCTACACATGGAAATCCCAGAGATAGATTGTTGGAATGGAATGAGCACTCTTTCACTGGAGGGATGTCTCTTGCTTACCTAATTCTGGAAAGTATTAAGCGCAGGTTGGTAAGAGCCAAGGTTGGGGACACCAGAGTGTGAGTTGGGGGTAAGCAGCTAAAATCACATAACTTACCATTGATACTACTGCACGGGAATCTTTCCTGCTGCTTGTTCAGCTAGGACCAGCCTACCCATTAGGGCTTTGGGTTGTAGGGTTAACAGGAGCTGAGTGGGATGTCTCCCACCCCCAGCGACTGATCTGCCCCTCAAGTCCTGCCAATAAGCCAGGCTGGCTGTGCTGTCATCAGCAGTGTCCTGGAATACTGCGGACCTGCCTGCCTCAGGAAATGGACTACCGAGACCGCCACAGAGGGCTGGCTCGATTCCGCCATTCCATTGCCAGGCATGTCACCTTGGAGCCAGTTCAGCTCCAAGGACACCCCATTTAGCCGCAAAAAACTACTGAATAAAAGAGTGATAAATGCTTGGAATGATCCAGCAAGCGAGGGAACACATTAGGGCTAACTTAAAGTAAAGCTAGATAATATTAATAATAATAATAATAATAATGCTTGCAAATTTGATATAGTGCTTGATCATGTATGGAGGACATCTCAAAGCGCTTCACAGAACAAAATGTGAAGTATAGTGACTGTGTATTTTGTTGGCGAATACAGCATAGCAATGTTTCAAAACAGGGAGACTGGGACAGATATAGATTAAAACATTTTGACTAAAGGGGTGATAAAAGCTTGGAATATCTACTAAGCAAGGTAAGCAGAGATAATAATAATATTAATAATAATCGTTGCATTTGATATAGAGCCTTATCACGTTGTTAAGATAAACACATCAGGGCCAATTTACAAAATAACCAGTTGGTGTGATGGGAGAGTTAATACAGTAGAGAGATGAGCTTCAGTGGGCTGGATGTCTCTTTTCCTCATCCCCACTTTCACTTTGTTCAGGGGTGAATTTTGGGAGGTTCAAATTGCAAGATCAGAAGAATTTATTTGAATGAACAAGGCTCTTTGGCTCATTTGATCCCTTCCTTGAAGAACTCCTTCTAACCTCCCATCGCAGCATCACGATTCCAGTGCCCTGACCTCAACTACCCTTCCTGATAATCTGTTCCAGTCATTAATTTCCCACTGGATAAAGAAATAAATTCTGGTGCCTGTCTTGAAAGTGCCATTTGCAAGCCTAAACCTATGTCCTCTTGTTCTACTGTTTTATTGCATTCGAAAGTAAAATGCCTAGGTCAAGGTAACAAGATAACAAGAGAGATTTGGACAACTACTTCCATTTATATAGAGCTTTTTGGAGTGCTCTGTGGAAGCGAGGTTGGATGCTGAGCAAAGGAGAAGGGGTAGATATAATAATAATATTAATAATAATCTTTGCATTTGATATAGCACCTTATCATGTCTTTGAGATGACTCAAAGCGCTTCACAGAATGTACTGTAAAGTGTCTTGGTTGTATATTTTGTGGGCAAAACAATTATCTTATTGTGCTGAACTTTAAGTAGTGCTGGCAGATAAATGTGAGGAGCGTTGGCTCTTAGCAATATAGATAATCACAGGCGCGGTTGAAGAGGTAGGTCTTCAGATGGAATTTAAAGAGGGAAGGAGGTGGAGGGATTGAGGCAGAAAGTTCCAGATATTAGGGGAGTAGTGGCTGAAGTCACGGTCATTGTTAGTGATGTTTAAAGCTAAGTAGAAAGCATTGGGCGCCTGTGGTTCTTACAGATGTGGAATGTAAGAGCAGGTCTCTTGCTGAGAGATGGACTGGAAACTTTGTGCTTAAGTTATCAGCAGCAAAGCTCCCTTCTGAATTAAAGATACAAAAACTAGATATCTATATATTGTCCTCATAACATAAGAAACATCAATACATACCAATAAGTTACACGTGTTTATACATAGAGTATATATTTTTGAAAATAACTTTTTAGTTAGTTCATTGAATGGAATAGCAACCGACCCACCATGAAGCTTCTGAGGACTGAAATTTTACCTGGTTTTACCTTTGAGACCAATCGCCTTGACGTTTAAGATTGTACAGAAAAGTCTTAAACAGACGGTTTTCCACAGTTTTTAGACAGAAAGAACGCTTTCTGGAACCCTGAGCCCAAATAAGACCACTTTCCTCATTGAGACTGAAAGTATTTTCCATTACGTGCGAAACGGTTTTAAATCTCAAGACGATGGTTTTAAGACCAGGTGGGACTCTACACTTACACTGCCATTGCCTACCTGAACCGCACGATGCTTTGTCCTGCATTTTCCATGGTTAACCTGCTACCAGACACCTGAAAGGGAACACAAAGAAAAATAGGCTTGAGAGACGCAGAAACACAGAATGACTCACACTTCACACATTTAAAGCAGAAACGTTTAACCCTTTTTAACGCAAAACAAATTACACAACGATAACAATCGTGAAACAAAATCTCTCCGCATGCACCTCCAGCCGCAAGACTTGCAAGCTGAATATCTGCCTGATATTATATTATTTTTTCATTGTTACTATGAAAAAAGTAAACCAATCACAAGGACAAAAAAGTGCCGCTGTTTTGATATTTAACATAAAGCTACAGTAATAAGGAAAGATCAATAACACTTTTGGTTATCCTGAGAAAAATGATCGCAATCATATTCTTGTGTCCTTTTACAATTTAGTTTACACATTGTTTAGCAAGAGTTGCATTACTATTATTGGTAAATTTTAGTTTTGTTTATAGGAAGCAGGGTTATATATATACATTGATCGATACATACATTGACAAAAAGACAATTTGGTGATATTAGTTATTGCTAATTAGCTGTTTTATTAACCTACGTTCCTACTTTTGTTTATTAAATTTTGGAAGGTTTACTTTTTTAACTGACAGTAACTGTGTAATTGAAAAGATTTATAATAACGATTGCATGTGCAGCAAAAATTATAGAGTTATTATTAGTGTTACCTTGTACTTGCAGGGTGTTTAACGTTTAGTCATCCTTTGAGTCCTGCGATATATTCCCTTAATAATCAGCCATCATGTCTGATTGCCTCAAAAGAAATACCATCCCTCTAAACTGCCTTCACCATCCTTGAAACTCAGATTCACATTAGGCACTGAAAATTACAAATAAAGTTTTTAAAAGTTGAGTAAAAGAACAAGCTGTGGGCAATGACACTTGACGATTTCCTTGTAAAAACAACTGCTCGAATCTCAGTAATCCATTAAATGCGCTCTTTTGAGTCAAGACAAGAATGGGATATCCATGTAATGTTCACATGTTGATGGGATATTGAATGTGCAGGAAAACTCAAAGGTCCAACAAGCTAGGCATTTAGACAATCTAGAGTGGGAAGTGATAATCTTACCTCATTAATCTCCATTACATTGTCATGAGAGACATGCTAATACAAACAAGTCAATTAGAGTTTGGTGTTTAGCAAGATCAATCTTATAGGATAGTTTAAAATCCATTTATTGTTCTAAGCATTTTTTTTCAATTAACATATTATACATTAAAGGTTACGAAGCACGAATCACGTAACAGTTTAGCAAATGAACGTTTAAATTATTTAACATCCATAGGGTGTTAATACAGCGTTTATAATCTTACCACAAAATGAAAAGTTCTTAAAACCAACTAAGGGTTCATTTGGGTTTATATTGTAGAAAACAGTTTAGGCATTTCCTGCACAACAGAAGCAGCAGACATTTAATGCTAGAATGAAATAATTCAGAATTTTAGTTCTTTACAAAAGATTTCAGCTTTATTGACAAATTATGGCAAATGTATTTGACAAATTAAAGTCACCTATTTAGATAAGCTTACACATGGAACTTTATGCAATTTTACTACCACATACAGGTTAAAACACTGAACAGATCACTTTAATAAAGTTAGCTACATACATAGCTGATTGATTTCAATTCCATTAAACATCATTTGTTTTTAAAAAATAAATTTACAAACTAAATATTGAACATCTCGAACTGACAAATATTAAAATAAGACAGTTTAAAACAACTTATCTACAGCTTGATTATCACCTATTTCAAAAAAAAAGTCTTTTTCACAGACTTTTACTTCACCCGACCACCCCCCACCCTTGCCCGCACCCTCCCTCTAAACAAACAACACCTTTATCCAATGGGCCTGGAGACTTTAAAGGTTGTAACACGTTCATGCTACTGGAACACACTTCTACACACAGAACAATGAGAAACAAGTAAGAGAAACAGCATCTGATGCATGATCTACTGACAGCCTGGTCGTTCTATAAGTTACTGTCATAAAATAAGTTCGACTTCCCATCAAAGTTTTTTTTTAGGAAATAGAAGAAGTGCACAAAGTGCCTGAGAGAGAAGTTATCCCTACGGTGGAAAATAAATGAACTATTATTTCTCTTGTAGTTGTTTTATGTGGTGACCACAGGAAATTCATGTAGTCATTTTGTGATGAGGTCATGGGACAAGGGCTGCCTTCAATATCTACCATAGGGGTGTTCTCTGTAGGTCCCTCTTGATGACCTCGGTATTGGTGCCTTTAGACTTGCTCGGGGTACACCCCACTCTTCTTGACCTGAAAAGACAGAGTCCATGAGAGACCCGATTGGAAAGGGGATTGGGGTGAGAGGGAGAGAGGAAACCATCAATCGATCACACTCTTTGAAACCGCTCTTATCTATCCAGCTCCCTTTTAACCATCCAAATGCTGAAGAGTCCACTGAGATGATTAAAGGGAGATGGGTAGATACTTGGGATGCAAGGTATTAAGGGATATGGAAAAAAAGGAGAGTCAAAATGGGAATAAAAATTCTTCGATGATCAGCCAGGCTCAATGTACCGAATGGCTCTCTCATGTTCCTGATGAAACTCTCAATACTTTGGTCAATGTACCATACCAGCTGATTGTTATTGTGTATTTTACTAGCTTGTTCTTTATCCAGTGACTTAGAAAAAAAAATGCAAATGTTAAGTATACAAGAAAGAACATTTCAAAATATTAGAGAAGTGCTTGACCTACACTTTGAAAGAGGAGCAAGAACAGTCTCCCCCACTATTAATACTCCCATTGATGAATGGCCACACATTCTGTTGCCTGTGTGCAGATAGTGCACTACAATACAATACTCCTTCAAATTTATATAGTGCCTTTCACGATGAGTGTTGTCCCAAAGCAATTCATACTGAGATGGAGCAGGAGAGGGTAGGGAAGGGGAAATGATAACTGAAAGAATGGTTGAAGAGGTAAATCTTCAAGATAGTATAGTTAACTATGTAGTGCTTAACAGTGACGGAGCCTGACACCGAGCTGGTGGGAGGGAGGAGGTGACCGTAAGCACAGCAAGGATAGGTGAATGGCCACGCAGAGCTGTGTAGTGACTGCGTATTTTGTAGGAAATTGCGGACAGCAGTGTCCCACAAACAGCCATGGAGTGAATGATCAATTTTATCTGGGGGATTGTTGGCCAGGACATACACTGGGAGAAATTCTCTTCTCTTTTCGAATAGCGTAATGGGATCTTCAAAGTGGCCATCTGATCGGGCAAACAGGGACTTGGTTTTATGTCTCATCCAAAAGATGGCAAGTCCAACAATGCAACTTCCCCACCCTACCAGCACTGCATTGGAGTGTCATTCTAGACTATATGGGCTCATAGTCTTGGTGTGGGACTTGGAACATAAACTTTCTGACTCACCAACTGAAACAATCCAATCATTTAATACCGAGATGGATTTAATAGAGTACAACCTTTGAACCTAGAATGGGAATGAATCCCTGGGTTAGATATCTACTGTTTTTTGCATCAAGATGCTGAGGAATTGCAGGTTGTTTTACTGAGCAGCCCATTTCCCCCCACCCCATTACAAGGGACATAAACTGCAGGAGATAAAGCTATTGAGGAGGAAACTAGTTTTGCAGCCTATATTTTTTCCTGGTCTGAGCTCTGCATGGCCATTCACCTATCCTTGCTGTGCTTACGGTCACCTCCTCCCTCCCACCGGCTCGTTGTCAGGTTCCGTCACTGTTAAGCATTCCAAGATACCGCTCAGCCTGAAGGGCGCTATGTTGATTCATGTTGTTGTTGTTCACTGGTTCCCTCTTTCCCTACACTTTCCTGCCTCCCCCTGCTCTACCATCAGCAGCCAAGCTTTCAGCACTATGTCCCTGGTCTCTGGAGCTATGGCCTCAAATCTCTCCACTTTGCACGCTCCTATTGGGTGATGTGACATCTAACAAGTGGTATTCAAGCCAAAAACAAAGATGTTGCAGAGCAGGAAAGAGAAATAGCTATTTGAGCCAAGCTGACTGAGGACTGAAAACCAGCTGAAAGGGATTTAATGACATGTATTGGAGAATTTGATTTCAGCACTGCATGGAGCCTGGTACACCGAATGATAACCAGCCACAGACACGATGTGACCAATAACCCCCTCCGGTGCTGAAAATGCCTATGTTTCGGCAACCTGCTTTTCCCTGTCTCTGTAAATGTTTTGTTTTGCTTTTAGCAGCTGCGGCCAGCACTCCTCCATCCAAATGCTATTTCATAACAGCACAAGGACGTGTGGAGCAAGAAAAGACCCAAAAGTACATTCCTTCCTTGGACCATGTTTGGTCAATTTGATCCAAATAATGTTCAAAGCGGGGAGTGGAGGCGATGGGAAACAACAGCATTTACATTGTGCCTTTCACGCCGGGAGGTATCCCAAGGTGCTGGAAAGTTGACAGTTTGCACCCGAGCTGGGGGCTGGATTCAGGAGGTGATGGGAGGAAAGCGGGATTGCCATACTGTAATACCGATTGCCATGCATGTAAGTGAGATTTTTATTTTTGACGATGGGGCGGGGGTGTCAGAGAGTTGTTGAACACATGTGGAAACCCATCACCGTGCTTTAGAGTGTCCAAGCCAAACTGATTATTCCATGCATCCCACCTAAACATGCAGATTTAGATTCCAAACTTGTGAATTTCTATGTGTAGGCGACATACTTATGGGAATCACAGAACCTTACAGAACAGAAAGAGGCCATTCGGCCCATCATGCCTGTGCCAGCTATTTGAAAGAGTTATCCCACTAGTTTCACTCCACTGCTCTTACCCCATATCCCTACAAATGATTCCTTTTCAAATACATAACCAATTGAATATTCTTTTGAAATCTACTATGGAATCTGCTTCCACCACCCAATGTGGTGAGAATATGGAATTCTCGATTTGGCTTGGATACTCTTAAACACGGAGCCAGGTTTCTATGTACGTCAGAAACCAGGTTGACCAAAAAAAAATTGCATCTACATACATATTCCTACAGACTCAATGTCACAGGGTCTGATGACAGTCATCTTTCTGGCTGAATCACATCTGATCAGACTTATGTTTTACGATGCGTGTTTGAAGAAAATGAGAAGGCTATAATAATTGAAATCTAAGTGGCTTATCAGAAAGAAAACAATGCCCCCGTTGATTCAAAAATCTGCTACCAATTGCGTTGGGAAGAATAAAGCAGAGATATTGCTTTGGAGACCTATATTTTAAATTAAGCTCCATCAATCTGCATCCTTTGTCATACTTAAACAGCTACAATACTTCTATTTCGAAAACATAATAAGCATAGTGGACGGCATGCAGTGCACATGATTGACAGTTCCCATTAAGCTTCACTTGCTTTGCCAGTGTCAAATATTAATCAATGTAATGTTGCCTTTCACACTGTGATGGTAATCAGTCAAGCATCTCCCCACCAAATGAATGTGTCACATTTTGCAATATACACAAGTCATACCCTTGAATATCCTTGATTAAGGATTTTAGGTAATAAGTTTCCCGATGTACCTTTATTTCGAATGTGCCCATTTCCCCGGGCCCTTTAATTAATTTTGCTCTCATGCTTGCAGAGAGACTGTCAGAAGTTGCACGAGAAAGCACTAAACTCATTTGAGGTGTAATTTCCGTAGACATGCGAACCTGACTGCAACAAATTCAATACATTGCAATCAGCGCTGTTGGTAGAGGCACGTGCTGTTTTTGCTGATGACACCATTGTCCAGACGCAGCTCCATAGCAGAGTAAAAGAGCGTTATGTTGGCACCATGCATCACGCAAATTCAGAGGCTGCTTTTTGTTTAATATACAGCACTGAATGCTTGCCTGCTGTTTCGGGACAATATTGACAGTGCTGTCACACTGATGAAGCACAAATTGGCAGCAAAAAGCACTCTCAGCAGGCTCCCTGTCTCGGAGGAGAATGGATTGAGGATGGTTATTAATTACTCTGGAGTATTCTGATCAAATATGAACTGTGTGATTTTTTTCAACCCTTGAATCTGCTGTGAATTTCAAACCGCAGATCCCATAAACACATTCTGTAAAAAACTCATTTGTGACTCGAGGGTGTCAATAGTTTTGGTGGAGCATAAGGAGTAAAAGTGTGGCTTTTCTATTGGAGCAGAGGAGACTGACAGGGGATACCAACAGCATGTTTTAAGATTAAAACAAAATACAGAGAGGGAAAAAAATCTATAGTGGGGAAATCAAACGGACTTAGCCTGAGGTTTGTTATTTATTTTTCAAACAGTGCCATGGGATCTTTAACACCCAGCTGAACAGGCAGACGGGGCCTTAGTTTAATGTCTCATCTGAAGCGCTACCCCGGCATTGTACTGGAGTGTCAGCCTAGACTGTGATCTCCAAGTCCCAATGTTGGGTCTAAAACCAACAGCCTTCTGACTCACTGAGACAGGCTGGCTCAGAATTCACACAAATTCTTTGTTTAAGTGTGTAACCAACATGTCATTTAATCCAACAATCCAATGGTGAGAATATGAAAAGGAATGATTTGTAACGGATCAGCCTGCACTCTTTTAAGTTTCACTGGCTCCCCCCACCTTCCACCCAGCAAATTCAAGATCCTCGTCCTAAACATCAAATGCCCCATCTCACCTCTGTGAGCTCCTGCAACCCAACAAACCTGGCTGGTCTCTCCTTTCAGCAAACACCAGTCTGCTTCATTTCTCCTGCCTGATCGGCCTCACTATCAGTGGGCAGGCTTTCAGCAATTCTGCTCCCACTCTCTGGATCTTCATCCTGGAATCTCTCCGTCTCGTCCGTCTATTACCACCCGTCTTAAGACAATATTTTTGGCCATCTTTCTCTTCCCTTCTTCAGCTCCCCTCCATCTCTAGCTAAGGCTTGCTGTCAGCTATGTGAAGTGCTTTAAGATATCCTTCCAATGTGAAAGGTGATTATTTAAACGCCAATTGTTCTGTTCAAATTGGTCTTGATCTAGAACTTCCTGACCTTGAGGTGAGATTACTAGCAATTTGAGCTGAAATCACTAGCAACTGAGCCACTGTCTATATATACCATAAGTTTCTAAAAACATCATCAAAAATAGTGGGAACAAATTGAGTGTGATTATAATTATTCACAACTGTTCAATTCTTCAGAGTGGTGTTGATAGTTACAAACACTGTTGAGTTAACAAGCGGAATAGACTTTACCGTAAGTGTCGTAGACTTCTTCACTTGCTCCGTGTCCATAGTCGTAATATTCAGGACCACTATAACAAAAGAACAGAGAGAAGGAACCCATTGCTACACTGGCAACATCATAACTGTGTGAAAAACTTAGTGCAAATCTCTGAGATTCCAATTATGTATAGCCGCATACGCATGAAAATGCCTCTACATCTGGAATAGATTGCACACTCTCTCCCCCGAGGAGGAAACCATGCTTACCTAATTCTGGAGAGTATTAGGTGCAGGTTGACAAGAGCCAAGGCTCGGGAACCCAAGACATGCATTGGGAAACTGCTAGATTTCAACCAGCTAGAACTGCACAGCTTGACATTGACAGCCCTGTCTGGCAAGCTTCCCAGGTAAGGAATCTTGCCAGACAGTGCCCTCAATGGCAAGCTATGCTTGTCAAGCTAGGACCACCCTACCCATTCGGGCTTTGACTTGCAGAGTAAACAGGAGGTGAGTGAGAAATCAAAGCCTTACATCCTTCAAATCACTGAGGTTTCATGAGCATTTGTTTTCCACAAGAAAAAATATTTCAGTACAATCGATAGGTAATGAACGCTCCAGCCACCCACAATTGAATCTCTGTTGAAGAATTAAGGGAGAATAAATTGCACCTCTTCCTACTTTGCATAACTGTGGTGAATGCGTTCTTTATGGTAGGAAAATCATTTCATTTTAAAAGACACTTGTATCACACATTTCTTCACTCTTAGTTGAGTAAAATTCCTTTCAGCATTACACTCAGCACTGGGGTAAATATCATTAAAGGCTGATGTGGTCAAAGACAATGAGTATAATGCATTGGGCATGTAATGGACTTTCCAGACCTCTGAATTCTGCTCTTAAACTGGGGACTGGAAGAGCCTGGACATGTGTGCTACTGCCTGTTCCCATGGTAGCACATCTGATATCTCAGTCACCTTTCCTGCTGGGAAAGACAAGGTCTCATGTTTGACATTTTGCCTTACGCAGAAAGACCGACATAGGAATTTGAGATTACGTGACATGACTTTGGCGGAAAAGCAAAACATTGACACGAATACAATGAGTCGCAGTCTCCGACTGTGCTGTAGATCTTTATGGTACTATGGAATCTTATATGGTATAAAAAACATTCATTTGAGTGAAATGTTGTCAAATTCCCTTGAACTGTTCCTATTTACCTCTTAACATGACTGTGTTTTTGGTCCTCTTTGCCTTCCCCTTTTATTCACAAAATCTACCGTCCATTCACTTTGCAATACATTTTGTGAAAGGTTTTGAGACCTCTCAATGACGTGAAAAGGTACTGTATAAAATGCAAGGATTATGAATATATTATTATTTGTGATCTGTAAATACTACGGTGAAATGAAGTATCTGCTCAGTGACCAACATTTCACTGCATTTCTCATGAGCACAACTCTGCATTTGATACAGTAATACAGACTGTCCTGAATCTTGCTGTTCTTAGAGGTACTAGAGCATTACAAGGTGGAGTGTCAAGGCACTTCAGAGGGTTTCAAACCTCAGGTAAGTGCTCAGGGATCCTGACTGCACATTACTCTGTGGGCACCTTCTGCTGGTAACACCATCATGCCAACTTACATTTATCATAATAATAACAAGGATTGTTGCCTCTGATATAGTGCCTTATCATGTCATCAAAATGGTTGCTATGTGCTGTATTTATAGGTGAAAACGGCAAGAAATGTGCACACAGCAAAGTCCCACAAACAGCCATGAAGTGAATGACCAATTTTGTCCAGAGGATTGTCGGCCAGGACGCCGGGAGAAATTCCCTTCTCTTTTCAATTAGCGAACAAGCAAATGGGACACTGGTTTCATGTATCTTCTGAAGGACAGCACCACCTCCAACAATGAAACACACACCCAGCACTAGATTGGAGTGTCAGTCTAGTCTATATGAGTTCAAAGTCACGATGTGGGGCATGAACCCACATCTTTCTGACTCAGAGGCAAGAGTGCTATCAACCGAGCCGGGCTGTCACCTAATAGAATGAAAAAGATCCAATAAAGTGGCGACACAGGCTCAATGAGTTGAATGGCCTCTTCCTGTTTTAAATTTCGAAATGATAAGAAGCACAAATAAATGATAGCAGCTAAGGTTGCAATATTGTTTCAGGAAACAGCAAATTTAAATCAACCAATAAAAATACTGTGTAAATGACAACATTTATACCATGTTTTATTGGTTACTCTATTGATTTAGTACTGCCAGCAGATTTAATAGGTTTAGGTTTATTAAGATAAAATTTCTTTCAGTCTCTGAATCAAGGCAACGAGAAACTTTGAGTTAGAAATGTACAGCGCTGAAGGCGGCCATTTAGCCCAGCAGTCTTCCCAGCAGGAAGCTGGCCAAAGGCACGGTTGAAGAGGAAGGATCTTCAGAAGGGACTTGAAAGAGGCAAGAAAGGGGGGATTGCAGGATAGGGTTCCTGAGTGTGGGGGCAGAGATGCTGAATGCCCGGCCACCAATGGTGGGGTGGGAAATGCGGGGAACCTGAAGCAGGCTGGACTCTGCCGAGCGGAGGGAGCGGACAGGCTGATATGGGATTATGAGGTCGGAGAGGTAGGAGGAAGCAAGACTGTGGAGCACTTTGAAAGTAAGAACTAGCGTTTTGTACTCGATTCTCTGGAGGAATGGGGAGCCAATCAAGCCAGGCAAGAATGGCGGTGATAGGTTCCCGGAGCCTGGTGTGGGAGAAGGATAGCTGAAGGTCAGAAAGAAGGTTTTGGATTGGCTCGGTGAGGTGAAAAGTGCAGCCATGAATGATGATAGTGTCAGCGGCTGAGGTGAGGAGGCGCTGCCGGGACCCAAGCAGGAGGGCTTCTGTCTTGCCAACATTGAGTTGGAGCAAGGTGTTCATTGAACCCCACTGCCCTGCCCTATCCCCACACCCTTTCAAGCCTCTATCCTTCACATACCTGTCTGCTTCCCTATTGAAACCCACAATGTTTCTGCTTACCACCTTTCTTGGCAGGGCATTCCAGGCAGATGGAGGGTTTGGAACCCTCCATCCATGATATTGCTGAGTGAAGATTGTTATCTTAAAGGGAGGGTGGGTCGGTAATCCGAGGACACTGATTTAAAATAGTTGTTAAAAGAAACAGAGGGGAGGTGAGGAGAATTTTTTTCACACAGCGAGTTGTTCGGATCTGGAATAAGTTGCCTGAAAGGGTGGTGGAAGCTGATTTGACAACTTTTAAGAGAGAAATAGATAATTATTTGGGGAGGACACGTTTTGCAGGGCTATGGGGTGAGAGCGGGGGAGTGGGATTGATTTGGATAGATCTTTTCAAAGAGCCGGCACAGATACAATGGGCCGAATGGCTTCCTTCTTTGCTGTTTAATTCTATGATTCTTGCACTTATAGAGCGCTTAACAGTGGCGAAGCCCGACTCCGAGCCCGGGGGGAGGGGGAGGTGACCGTAAGCACGGTCGATGAGGAAAGTCTTCAGGCAGGACTTGGAGAGGGGACAAGGCAGAGGGAATGAGGGAGAGTGTTCCAGAGTTTTGGGGCATAGTGGCTGAAAGCGCGACCTCCGATGGTGGGGTAGAAGGTGCGAGGGACGACCAGGAGGCTGGTGCCAGTCGACGTCTCAAAACGCTTCAGAGAATATACTGTAACGTGAATTGACTGTATATTTTGTCGGTAAAGCACGACAGCCAATTGCGCACAGCAGTGACCCACAAACAGTCATGGATTAAATGACCAAATTATGATTGATTGATTGATTGATTGATTGATTGATTGATTGATTGATTGATTGATTGGTCTGTCTGTCTGTCTGCCTGCCTGCCTGCCTGCCTGCCTGCCTGTCTGTCTGTCTATTATTATTTATTTTTTTGGAGGGATTACTACCCCCCGGAAAAACGATCTGACAATTGATTGACAACTGGGTTTCTACATACTACTAGATAAACAGAAGCATCTGGAGTAAGGAAACTTGCCCAACGTTTCGCCCTGCCCAGGAATCAAACTCAGGTCCTCTCGCTTGCGAGGTGAGTTCTCTAACAACTAAGCTACAGGACTCCACTAAGCTATAGGACTAAGTATATCCCTCCAGGGAGAGAGTGCATACTTGTAAGCAGACAAATGGAAATCAAACACACGTGGTTTAGTTTGGAAATGGGTTTCTGGGTATGTCCAGGTGACTAAAACCAGTCATTATTTAGGCTTGTGATGCCTGTGGGATGTAATAAGGTACTAACAAGGTCTTCTAAATGAGGCATATTCAGCAATTTGAGTTTTAAAAACAATTTTTTCTGCCCAAAATGCTAACATTGCATTAATGTATTGTGCTAAATTTTCTCTCGCTCCCTTCCTTTCTCTCTCTTCTCTTCCTCTCATAAAATCTCTTGAGAAACAAGAAAAAAAAGGAAACAGGTTTAAAAAATAATCCCTCACTAAAATCCGGTCAAACGTTTCCGCAAACTATCTGGATGAACCTAGCTGGGCTTCCTTGAAATAATCTTTACTACTTGAATGGCCCAGCAGTGGTGAAGCTGATCCTATTTTATCTGCAGAAACTCGACCCCTGGATGAGTTTAATTGAGGTACTAAAACCTTGCGATTTGGTAGAGACAACTTATCACGCGTATCTCTGTATCCTGGATAATCCCCACGATCTTCTTGCAGAGAAAGGCTGCCTGTGGCTCAGAAAATAGGGCCAGCAGGGAATATCCTAATTTATTATTACCCAAACAGAGGCAACTGACATTCCGGAGGACATTGTAGGGGATACATCTCATATTGTTCCTCAGAGTTCTCCTTGTCCTATTGCTGTTGAGGAAAACAATCAGAAGAAATGCAGCAAAATTGAAACAGGGACAGCTTTACTTTGAGCTCAGTATTAAGGGAGAATGAGTGGCGAAATGCTGGGAAGGGAGATAATAGGGGAAGGAGATAATACATCATGTCGGGGGGATGTCTCAAAGCTCTTGATATTGCTGGCTGGGCAACCGAGCTGTGGGTTGGGTGGCGAAAGGGGTGGGGAGGGGAAAATGACCGAAAGCAAAGTCAAAGAAGTA